ATTCTCACCTGTCGGCCTGGACGCTAGGTGTTCAATAATAATTATGGTCAGTCATGTTGTGGGGAGGACAAGGACACCTCAGGAACATCGACGATTGATCGACCTCAATCGTATGGGAAATGGTAATAAACCGTTGTGACCATTTCACCACAGTAAGGTGCTGATCAGGCATAGCATGAAGGTGGTGGAATTGAAGGTTGGCAACGTAAAAGTAAAAGGTTGTGGTCGGCAGAAGACATCTTCAAACACCTTTCAGTAGACATCTCTTGCCTCCGTAAAAACGATGGTTGATTCGAATTGCGATTTATCGTACGCCATCGGGATGGTCCGAAATCGACAGCGATCCGTGCGAGACGATCCAGGCTGAAGACTTTTCTTTTTGTCGCTGCTTTTAATTTAACTATTCATATCTTAGACTGCACTGTAACTTTTATCCATGTACTTTTTCTTTTAATGTTTATTTTATTAACTTTTCTTTTTAATGACTGATTTTAAATGCCATTTTCTTAATGTCTTTCATTTTTTGTAAAGCACTTTGAATTGCCTTGTGTTGAAAAGTGCTATATAAATAAACTTGCCTTGGTTTGGACGTAATATGCTCTGTGCATGTTTACATTAGCATCGCTAACACTCAGAGCTAACCTGTACTGGAGAGCATGTGTGTGAAGAAGCAGGAAATAAAAAGGAACTCACCTTGTGGTATAACCGGCAAGAGAGAAAGCCTTTGAGCTCCATACTGTTTCAGAAATAATCCTTGATAATCCATGATATGGCGTTTCATCACGGCAGTATTTAGTTTAGACAGTAGCTGCTCCCGCATGAGCTCAGCCCCCTCCTTTTTTATTTTATCAATTATTTTTATTTATTTTTAGCTTTGTTCCCAAAATCAGCACTTTTGAAACAGGAAGTGAAATAGAGGGATATGAGGCATGGCTAGAATGGGTTATCTGTTTGGTATTTTGAGCAAAACACTTCATAGATATATATTTGTATATATCTGAGACCTATGCTATTGCCTAAAAATAGCATGATAGGTGACCTTTAACCAACTTAACAGTACATAGGAAGCTCTGCCCATATTCCAACTGAGGAGACATTTGTGTCCTTGCTAGTTATTTATAAAGTAATTAATGTGCAACCTCTGCTGGGTGGTTGGCCACATTGCACCAAACCCTACAAAGTATGTAGGGTAGATATTTGGTATGATCGTTTCTGTCTGACAGACACAGCACAAGTTTCTCCTCTAAATTGTACAGTGACCTCACCGGCACTTTTCTGAAAAGTTCAAATATTTTCCTTTGCCTGACTCCTAAACAAAACAACAACTCCTAAACAGAAGTTACACTGGTTCAACAGGCTGCTCTAAACCTCTCTCTCTCTCTCTCTCTCTCTCTCTTGCAGCCTCACACCTTGCTGCAAAGAGTCAAGTCGTGCATATCAGACGAGGAGGAGGAGAAGCTCTTGCAGATCACCAGCCTTCATTCACTCAATGCCTTCCTGCTGCCCATCAAAACTGTCGGAGTCCAGGTAAACCAGTCGCACAATTAACCCATCAGTCAAACTTTTTTATTTTTCTGTTTTCTCTTCACTGCCCCGGACATACTTTTAAAACACGCTTTTTACATTACATTTTTACAGGGGTCTAAGAGGTACTCGGATAGAAGTAAAAGTAGCCATAACAGACAATCCTCTATATCTCACAACATGTGAATAATGCCTCCAATAATGTGTGCCCCGAATGTTTGAACCTTTTAGTCCAATTTTAAAGAGGACTTGCTGCCGTGACTGAAGTGAAAGATTTCAAAGTTATTTTCTTTAGGAGCTGTTGAGGATTTAAATGTCTTTAGCAGTGCTGCTGGGGCAAACGGTATGTCCCTCTTTGTCTCGTTTTGTTCCAACTATAACTTAGTGGTTAACCACGAGACACACCCACACACACACAACCTCAGTTTCTTTCTCTCTTTAACTAAACATGGAGGCATATGTTCAGGGTTGGGAGGGTTACTTTAAAAAATGTAATCTGTTACAGTTAATATGTATACGTTTAGATTCAACCCAGAACAGAACAGCTTACAGAGAAGAAATACAAATTCTGATTTTACAACAAACACAAAATGCTATTTTGTTTGTTTTTTTACTAGCACTGCTGGTAAGCAAATACTGAAATGTAACAGTAAGGTCTTTTTTAATGTAGTTGTAGAATATAATTGGGGAGGGATGAGTTACACATGCAGAGCACACAGCACACACAGTGAAATGTGTTCTCTGCATTTAACCCATCCTAGTACAAGGAGTCTAGTACTAGGAGCAGTGGGCAGCTATTGTACAGCGCCCGGGGAGCAATGGCAGTGAGGAGGGTGTGTGTCCGGTGCCTTGCTCAAGGGCACCACGGCAGGGCAGGAGGTGAACTGGGACCTCTCCAAGTAGCAGTCCACACTCCTTATTTAGGTCTGGTCGGGGACTTGAACCGGCAACCTTACAGCTCCCAGTCCAAGCCCCTACTGACTGAGCCACTGCCGGATACAGTTACCTTTTCTGTATCCTTAATACCCATTACATATAACCTGTTACTCCCAAAGCCTGAATATGCTCAAACTATTGTGGCACGTTTTAGTTTCCTCCTCTGATGTTGACTCATGTTAGTCTGACACATATAAAGTGCTTTGTATCTAAAAATAGCAACAGAAAAAACACTTTCCTGTGGTTTTTACTGACCTTTTTAGTGAAGAAAAAAATCATCATCATCACTATTTTCAGCCAGCCAGTGACTGTGTGTGTTTCCGTGGGGGTGTGCGCTGCCACTTCCTGTTTTACATTTACCTGAATCTGAAGTTGTGGGGCAGACGGGAGGTGGAGGACAAACACAGGTAGCCTTCACTGCCTGAGGGATTTTATGTTGAAGTGAAAACAGACAGACTTCCTCAATTCATAGAAACATCACTCTTTATTTAGCAGACACTGGAAAATGTAAAAAAAAATAATGATTAAAATAAGTCATTTTAATTAAAAGACACCTCACTGTTGGTCTATGTTTGACCTTTTTTTGTTAAATGAGTCATATATGATTAAATTATAATGAAAATGCAAGCACCAGAGGACCTGATGGTTCTACTGGGTTCATAAGTGAAACACTGATTTAATCAAAAGCTAGGCCCAGGACCATTTAAAGCTTTAAAATTCAACACAAGTATTTTTTGTATCAATCATGAAGCTCACGGGTAGTTAAAATCAGGATGCGCTCTCTCTTTCTCTTTCTTTCTTATGCTCATCTAACATTTGTTGAAGATTGATGTTCTCTTTATTTTATAACAACCCTTTACTTGAACTAATCAAAGTAACTGTGCTGTCCCAGGGTGACTGCCGGTCCTACAGTTACGTGTGCGGTATCACGAGTAAAGAGTCTCCTCACTGGGAGTCTCTCCTGTTCCTGTCCAGACTCATCCCTCGCATGTGCCACAGCATCAACAGGTAATACACACTCCTCTGCTTTACCCTTCGTCCCTCCTCATCCTCATTACACACTGTTCTGTTAACAGCAGTCACACTCACCCGTTCCCTTTCGTCTCTCTCTTTTCACAGAGTTGTTTATGTGTTTGGGTCTCACGTGAAGGAGCCTCCCACAGACATCACCCCCACCTTCCTGACCACAGGCGTTCTGAGCACGCTCAGACAGGCGGACTTTGTAGCTCACTCTATCCTCAGAGAGTCTGGTGAGTGTGTGTCCAAGTGGCTTTAGACTTTTAAATTGACCCTATGTTTTTGGAGCATTACAGATTATTAGGAAGGATCTATATTTGATAAATATGTCAGAGCTTCTTGAATAAAAAGGATGCAACCAACCACAGGAATATCTATCAATACAATGTGTCTAAAACCTTTCACTCCTTTTACCAAGCATGGTATTATTAAGTTCACTTCCAGAGTGGTGTAGTCTGCATACTTGCACCCTCATGGGGAATTTAACGTTTCCCTAGAAGCAGACCAGTTATCTGTTCTGCTGTCAAAACGTTTTTTTGGGATACATTGGTATTTTCCTGACTATGCCAATTTATGATTAACATGGATTTAAAGATCTTCTTGATCATTTTGTCCACATTAGATATTGGTCCTTATAGCATAACGTAAGACATTTTGCTTTCATTTTTTGTGGATCCTACAATCCATCATACAGATTATTATGCTTTTTGGGGTTCTCCCTTTCCTGTAGTGCAGTGACCATCAACTGGCGGCCCGCGGGCCAAATCTGGCACGTCAGCCATTCTCATCCGGCACCCGCTGTGGTGCTGGAGGAGTGGTTAGTGGGTTCGCCCCCCACTCATATATTTTTTTTACAACGTCTCGTGAGTAATGTGCAGTACCGGAGTCCAACAGAGAGGCAGCAGCTGCGGGACAGTAGCCTGCGTACTGCGTAGCCTTCCCTGCCCTGAAGAAGAAGTTATCCTTCGTTAGCGTGAAGAGTCTGCTAAGCTTGATGCGCTCCGCAGTAGCCCCGCTGCGAGGCTCCGGCGACTTGGCAGTACATGAGCGCGCTCCGGCGACTTGGCAGTACATGAGCGTGCTCCACCAGCACCCAAGCTGTGATTAATCTGATTTAAAAAATGTAATTGTTTGACAGCCCTAATGTATGTATAAAATCGCTGGCTCCCTGAAAGTGTCTCTAGGAATAATGTTGGCCCTTGGACAAATGTAGTTGGTGATCCCTGCTGTAGTGTGTTCTAATGGTTTCTGAGCAGCATTAAAACCCTCCTCTCTGTTTGTCTTCCTTTCAAGGCTACTCCGGTAAGATCAGCCAGATGCCGATCATTTTGACCCCCCTGCACTTTGACCGTGACGCACAGCAGAAGCAGCCGTCCTGCCGGCGCTCTGTGGTGATCCGCACCTTCATCACCAGCGACTTCATGACCGGCATCCCCGCCCAGCCCGGAAACCACATCCCAGAAGAGGTAAGCCAGGGTTTAACCCCTCCACTGGGTGTTTGGCTAGATTTGGAGCCATTATTTAAACTGTCATCGTTGACTGATTACTGATCTGGCCTAATGGGCACAGACCCGGGGTCCTTCTCACCTGTTGAGCTGCAGAGCCTTTGTTTAAAGTTACTGTTAATATTTATCGTAAAAAGTCATAAATTGTAGCAAAACGATTTAAGAAGAGATGCAAAATGTCTATCAAAACAAACAAACAACCTCAATAGGCGCTTTCACACCGCAGTACTTTTCCCACAAAGGTTCAACAGAACTTAGTTCATGAAAACTCTTTAGTTCTCATGAACTAAGTACAGATCGCGTTCACACCGGAATAAGTCCCTGGGGGAGGATTAGGCAAATGAAGCCGCTGACATCAATTCTTCATCTTCTGCTTTGGGTTTACTGGCAGGCCGCAAACAACTTCACGGCGTATACTGCCACCCGAAGTCCCCGGCCGGAAGTCCCCGGAGTTGGGGACTGGCTTCAGTTGGGGACTGGCTTCAGAGTCCCAGCAGCTTCTACTGAAGCCTTCTGAGTAAATCGCCAGAACGCCGACACCTCCTCATCTCCACCGCTCCCATGTTTTCTTTTGTGTTGCCATAAGTTAGTCTCTCTGCGTTTGTGCGCTGGGCTAATGCTAATGCTAATAATGCTAATGCGAGGAGAATAAAATGGCGGCTTCACAAAACATTTTTGGAGTTTTACGGGGCGTGGTTTGCATTTCGCCCAGCCAATCAGAAATAGGACCCTTTTTCTCTCACGAAAGTCCCTGCTCTCTAGCAAAACTCAACAGAAATGTTATTTGAGATGCAAAATCTCCATGAATAGATACAATATGACCTGAAAAAGACTCAAAATGATCAAACGGAGAAACAGAATGACAAACACACCAAATACGACCATCAGGACACAAAACGCAACCTTTTAAGAGATGCAAAATTACCAAAAAGAGACTTTTTATAAACATACTGCATCTCTTTGTACAAAGTGATCCAAAACAGATACAGAATGCGGCCACCAGGAAACATTACTCTAGATAAAGATGTTGTGAGAGAGGCAAAATGTCTACGAAAAGATCAAAAAGAGACACCAGGACACAAAACACTAGAAATTGATCTTCTAGAGATGCGAAGCGGTGTCTCTTTGAATCTGTGGCTCTTATGAAGGAGGGACTAATAATGTTTGAATCTAAATATTTCTTCAACATTTTAAAATGTATTTGTCCGATCTGCTTTCCCAGGTTGTGCTGAAGATGGTGAACGAGATCAAGAAGATCCCAGGCATCTCCAGAGTGATGTACGATCTGACCTCCAAACCCCCCGGCACCACAGAGTGGGAATAAAACACGACGCGACCGACAGGACACACACACACTCGACACACAATGCACAAACACATTTACAAATATCAGAGAGGGCTGGGGAACTTCTCTCCTTTACTCTCCTTCCTTCCTCCCTCCCCTCACCTCCTCCCTCCCTCCCTTCCTTCCTTCCTCCTCTCTTCAACATTCCCACGGAAGGCAGAGCGTACTGTGACGGGCACACATGCAAAGGCGCCACCACTCCCCCCTGGTCTTAATATTTTTCGGTGATAGGGACTGATTAATGTTGGTTATTGATAATATATTGTCATTTTTGATTCATGTGCATCTATGTATTTCCTCTGTGTGACTATAAAAAGGTAAAAGGCTGCTTCCTGTTCCAGTCATTTAAATGTGAGAAGCTGTGAGACTTCAGAAAGATGTTGTACCTCAGGTTGCATTACGGGAAGAGCTCAAAAATAACAAAAAAACAAACAAAAGAAAAAGTCTCATAAAATGAAAGAGCAGGAGAGTTTTAGTCATTTTGTTTTATTACACCGAAGACTATCCTCCCTGTCCATTTACAGCCTGTATACTGAGCTATTTCTTCTTCTTTTTTTAAATCTGAACAGGCATCCTTTGTGACCAATCAATTAATTTTAAGCTTTTTGTTTTGCCAAAAGTAGAATATGCTGTGTGATGTATAACATTGAGAGGATCCTTGCTGTAACGCATGGTCAACTCCAGATTAGCTTCAGAATGATAAGGAGGCAGGAGGCCAATAGAGTGATGCGGGAATGAACGCGGATACGAGTTGGCATTTTACCACTTCCAGTGTTTAGCCTGAAATAAGTCCTGTGGTTAAAACAAGCGAAAGAGATTTTATTCAACAACATAAAATACGTCAGTAAAACGGCAGTTGCTAACAATTGTCTAAACAAACTGCTGTACGTCATCACAACGAACATTAGCCACCTTTAGCTTAGCGGTGGTGAAGTCAAGTGACCGTGCTTGTAGTTCCTTTATAGCTAAGTTAACATAGCCTATAGATGTCTTTTTACTTCTGCCGATTGCATTTATGCTTAAATCACAACGTGGAGTTTATCCTGCTGAACAAAACGTGTAAGTGTCATGAAAGTTTGTTTTCCACGGAGCTTATTTTCCACTAAATTCCAATGGAAAAATCCCGTTGCGTTTGGTCGAGGGAACCGTTTGCGATGCTAACTCCCGTCCCGGGTCGGACTACATACATAAATAAATCAACGCTGCACCAATCTATAGTGATGGGGAACTTTTCGATGTGCCTGTTCTTATTGTTTCTGTTTATTTCTTTCCAACCTGGACTCTTAATGTGTCCAGAACAGGAGGATAAAACACCGTTTCTCCTCGTGCTGCAATATGTATGCTTTTTATGAAGAATAAAACATGGCAGGAGGACTTATTAATAACAAAAGTATAGTAGAGTTTATAACCACATCGTGTAAATTGCTGTTGTCATTTCATCATTATTTGGCTGCTCTTTTGCTCATGTTTTTTGTCTTGAGTTTAATATACACCCTTATTAAGTGTGTCACACTGTAGTGTCAAAGGTCAGGTTGAGAGCGTGTCTGTTGCCATCTCTAATGTACGTTCACTCAAAAAGGCATTTATTTTTCTGTTCTGAAGCACATCATCACCTCTAGTCTGGTCGTTTAGAGCTCAGTGAATACAGTGCTCAGGTTTAACTGAGATTTTAAAAGTGTATTGTACCCCTGTAGAGGCATTTCACTCAGTGGTTCTCATGCCTCCAGATTACGTCTTGGTGCCTCATCCTCTGTTAACCTTTAGTGGCAAAACCCCCCTCCTGCAACATTAATGCTTTTCCTAAGTTGTCACTGTTCGGCCTTTTCTATATTTTTTTCTGTTACATATGTCTCCATGGAAAGCTTGATACTATTGGACACATCATATGAATTTAATTGCAATATCGATAAGATTAAGTTATGCAATTCAGTGTCTTTCGTTTTTTGTTCCGTTTGATCGCTCATTCTTCTTAGTAACGTGCCTCAAACCAAGCCACTGCATGCAGTTTCAACTATATGATGACATTTGTACAATGGAAAAACTGAGCTTTAATAAAGATCTCCATGTTGAAACTTCTCACCTACAAACTTGTCTCTGATTGTCTACTTTCAGATTTGAAATAATTATGCCTGATGATTTTCAAGAGTGTTGTTTTTTTTGTGCCATGGTTCTTTTACATTATTGGGCTTTTCTCATGTTCACACTATTTGATTTACTTTATTTGTTATTTTTTGAAGTCAAGGATATGATTCTAAGTACACGTAAAAGTAGATGCGGCTTTTATTAAAGGGCCCTTATTCTGCTTATTTTCAGGTTCATATTTATTTCCTCTACTGTGACAGGTTTCCATGCTTTAATGTTCAAAAAGCTCTTTATTTTTCTCATACAGCCTGTGCTGCAGCACCTCTTTTCACCCTCTGTCTGAAACCAGAGCCCAGTCTGCTCTGATTGGTTAGCTGACCGGCTCTGTTGTTCACTAAGGAGATGTCCCGCCCCTTAGCCTATCATGTACAATGTGTTGGTAGCGCTAGCTAATAGAAGAGTGTTACATAGGAGGGAGGAGGGGGTGGGAGAGAAACTCTCTCTGGAGGGAACACAAGGATTTTAGCCTTTGCAGACCATTTACACGCACCAAAACGTATATAGCCTAACACACTACAGGAAAAGCATAATGGGACCTCTTTAAATTAAGATGTATTCAAAACTCACAATGGTTGTTTATGCTCATTTTTCTATTTAACCGCATGCTCCTCTTTACAGATGTCTGCAAGGGCAGAAAGAGTACATTTAGAAAATTACTCGACCTAATTGATTTCTCGCAGAAGTCATCAGTGCTAGTCAGACGTGTCTCATGTGTGCCTGAGACGGATCACAAGCACAAGGCTGCAGTCAAACAGTCATGCATTCACCATCAGCAGCCTCCCGTTAGTCCCATTCCTTTAATACCAGTGACATTGACACTACTGTAAACAGACAGATTGTTAAAAGACGTTTTAGACTGTATCCTATTTGTGTGCAGTCGGTAGCCCTGCAGATGTCCCTGTGTGTGCGGGGGGGTTCAGGTGTGTGTTCTTCCCCTCTGATTTATAAACAAGATCAGACAAGTTTAGTCAGCCATCAACACACACACAGACACACACTCAGGGGACAGGGCAGTATTTTGGAACAGTTGCCACATGCAGCTGCCAATTAACCGACGGCCTGTGGCAGATTATCCTCAGCAGCTGACTGGTGTGCAGACTGATACACTGGTTTATATGTATGGAGGAAATAAATACATCTGAATATGAGACATTTCATTACATTTGTTGGTGGTCCAGGGTCCAGTTTGTGCTCTTGGATGGAGACAAAACAAAGTAACTTTACACACTATTTAATGAGATTGTACCGATCAGGCTTGGGGATGTAACTGGATAATGTAATTAGGATACAAAAAAAGTAGCTATATTCACTTACAGCTACATGTAAAAAAATGTTATCAGATTACTGTTAAATTTCTAAAAATTGTGGATTTCTAGCAGGATTACAATGTTATTAAAAAACTAAAAAGAGCACATTGGGTTTGTCGTAAAAGGATCAGATTGTATTTCTTCTCTGTCAGCTGTGCTGTTCTGTAGGCTAATGTGCTTATGTGTTTCGTTGTTGGTGTATAGGCTACTGCCTGAATATGCTGAATGAAAGGCAGCTTTTCCTATAAATTAATTTTAATAAGATAATACAGGTCAGTAAAAACATGTTATTGATATTTGTTTTTGGATTTTATTGATTTGATCTACATTTGATATTGAGGTCAGGTTACATTTAAAATGTGATATTCAGATTAGGTTACTGATTAAAATGTTTTTTACAGCTAGATAGTAATTGTAAGGGAAAACATCTTTACAGTAGCACTCTCAACCCTGGTGTTAACACACATTAAACGCCCTCACCCAGAATCCTCCTCCCTATTTGTGTTCCCATGTTACCTGGTGCATCTCTGCCCCATGAGAGAAGATAACAAACCTTTCACACTTAGCTGTCTTCTTCCTGTCCGCCACACACTCTCTTTTTTTCTGCACATATAGCATGGAAACCGGTCGCCTTTTGCTCGGATTATGTGCCCTTTTATGCTTTTACAGATCTGTTGCTTCAGAATCTACATGCAAGCTGAAGGCCAAGTTCAACCTGAGCGGCTACAAGGATGTGGAGAAGAAGAAGGTGGTTGTTGGCGGGATGTTTCCTGTCCACAAACGCATCAGCTCCAGTGATGGAAACACTTCGAGGCTGCCCGTCTCCTCGGGGTGTGAGGGGTGAGTTCAGCTGTCATCACTTTGATACATTATTGTTAGAATATTTCAGTGAAGTTATATTATTTTTAAATTCCTGAAACAGAAATAATTCCATGATTTAATTTAATTAAGATGGAGCAGGGCAGCACCCCTGGGACCAATTAGCCTCACTAGCACATATCATTATGGAGGCAGGCCTTTAATATGCAACAATAATCAGCAAGTGTGTGATATGTCCTCTCGTGGCTCATTTAGGTAATAACATCAAGAGTAGTCACTATACACCAGTCAGCAAGTATTACAATTTTGCTCTATACCACTCTATACAATACATCTTTTTAAACAACAGCTAAAAACAGGTTTAAAAAAAAAAAAATGCCTTTAATTTATGTCTTTTAATCTTTTTGTAAATATTTGTTCTTATTATTTAATTTTATAGTGTAAACAAATATATTTAATAATTGTGTCTCATTGGGGTTGTACCTTGTGAAATGTGTGATTATTATTATTATTATTATTATTATTATTATTTCATATATTCCTTTTCAATTCTCTTTATTCTTTTTCCCTCCTTGTATTCCTTGAAATCTTGGTCATCATGTATGCTGCATGTGTGCTAAAAGGCTTGGACCTGAATTTAATTTCTTGCCATATTGTTAAAGTACTTTGAGCTGCATCCTGCATATGAAAAGTGCTTTACGACCACATATTTGTAATTCTTTCTTTCTTTTGTACTCTGTCTAATGTAATACATCTCCCATCATGCTCCAGGTTTAACTTCCGTACTTTCCGCTGGACGCAGACCATGCTGTTTGCCATCAACGAGATCAACGGGAGGACCGAGCTGCTGCCGAACACCGACCTGGGCTACGTGATCTACGACTCGTGCTTCACCATCTCCAAGGCGGTGGAGGGGACCCTCACCTATCTGACGGGCCAGGACGAGGCCGTGCCCAACTACCGCTGCGGGTCCGGGGCCCCTCTGGCGGCTATGGTGGGGGCCGGGGGGTCTGACCTGTCCATCGCCACCGCCAGGATACTCGGGCTGTATCACTTCGCTCAGGTAGGCCAGGTGGGGTTAGAGGAAGATAAGAGGAAAGGAAAGGAACAACTGTTATTTATTGTATTTACCTTTGGTAGATGCTATCCAAAGAGCTTAGAAGATACATTAATATAAACAACATCACCACAGTCTAGCACAGACATAAAGGCGCAGCAACAAGTCTCTTTCTGGTCTTAAAGGTCACCTATTATGCAAAATCCACTTTTTCATGTCTTGTATACATCAACATGTGTCCCCTCTGTGTAAAGAGATTCTAAAAGTTTCTGGAAAAAAGATTCTCTCTCTTTTTGTCCTGATCCATTTATATAAAAACCTGATCAGATTTTGTCCACTTTATGATGTCATAACGTTTTTTTTTGGCGTGTGTAACAATTAGCCAATCAACAACCATCACCATAGTCTAGCACAGACATAAAGGCGGCAGCAACAAGTCTCTTTGTGGCCTTAAAAGAAAAATAAGACTTCTCTTAATTCTAAAGTAAAATTGTATTAAGTTAGATATGGTGCAAAATGCGAGAGCGTGTAAAACCTGATGTGACCACTTGCAGAAAAAAAATCTGAGCTTGTGTGTATACATTTACACTTGTATAAAATATCCACGTAACTGTGAACCAAATGTACACTTGTATAAAATATCCACGTAACTGTGAACCAAAT